ACTAAACTGAAACACGTAAAAATAGATTAAATTACTGTTATATCACTGTTATAGCCTCTCACATATATTCAGAACTGTTAGTGGTAACGATGTATTTAGATCTTCCCTAATGTGGTGATATTGCACCTTCTGACTTAAAAGGTTTGAGAGTTTTTCTACTTTTAGATAATAGACTCAAGTATAAAACCAGGAAAAGGCATTGACTCCTTTTGAGTAATCAAATTACAAAATGAATTAAAATTGACTTTAAAACATTACTGTTATGAAGCTACAAATGCATAATAAACTTAAAGGAATGCATTCTTTTAGGGGACAAATATAATTTGATTTAAGGAAGTATTGTAAACAGACTGTACTTTGGATTTAAAGAGGAAAAAATCCTTCAGAACACATATAGGAGCTCTTGCAATGCCTTAAATCTGTTTTTCTCAGGACCATGCTGTACCTCTGGAGGGCACCCATGTGTTCCTGGGAAAAGACTTAGCTCATTTAACAAGTTGCTGATAGGTGGTACATAAGCATCCTGCACAGTCCAAACTATCCTTTCCCCTTGAAAGGCAAGGGCTGCACTTAATAAAAAAATATAGGGAATATGGGGCAACAGATAGAGCAAACCTATGATGCTTTGCTTTCCCAGTCAATGTAGACATAGACTGGATAAGAAGAGCAAGCGGTTCTTAGGCAACTGTCCAAGTGCTAGAGCAGTGGTTCTCAACCTTTTTAATGCTGCGACCCCCAACCGGTCGTAAGGCGAGGACTAAACCGGTTGTAAGTCGAGGACTACCCAACCGGTCCCAAGTCAAGGACTTTCCCTGCCCGGGAGCGCCGTGCATGCGTGGTTTCGTCCCCTGCGCCGGCCGAGGCGTAGCTGGCAAGCGGCAGAGACGGAGCAGGCCGACCACCAGCTGGCCCAGCCCAAGGGAGGTAAGGCACCCGCCAGAAAAGGGGGAAAAAATGGCGGACAGCCTTGCTTGGCGACCCCTGTGAAATGGTCGATCGACCCCAAATGGGGTCCCGACCCATAGGTTGAGAACCGCTGTGCTAGAGTTTGACACAGCTGAGATTGTTAAAAGGTCAGACAAGGCTATGGGCACATGCTGCTGGCAAGCACAGCTATTTATGCGAGAAAGAACCAATGTAATACATAGGAATATAGGCTGAAATGCAACATAGATTATTTAAACCGAACAGCCCTTCCCAGTTCGACTTCTGGTGCCGATGAAATAGGATAATATTTTAAATATATCAGCAATCTATTCTGATATTATTGGCAAATGTTATTCATTAGCCTAGCAAAATAACAACAGCAAATGAAATCAAAAACTAAACATGCTGTTTCAGTCTGATCTCTGCACTACAAATTATAGAAATAAAACTATTCGCTGTAGGAAAATGAAATGTGTTCCAGTTTAAATTTTATTAATATATTTTAAGGATATCAAAAAAGTGACCCAAGCTTATTAGAAGTGTTTATCACACTTATCAAAATGAAAGGGAAAAAAACACCAATCAATTTATGCTATAGCATGGAGGATTTTGCTTAAATGTTAGCCTGCCTGCAAGTCCATTTGTGGATCCCAGAATATGGCCTTTTTTGTGCATTGGGGATGAGTACAAAAGTTTAAAAAAGTAAAATAGATCTTGAGCATTACACACATCTAACCTTTAGTGAGTTTGTGAAATTTGTCTCCAACCAATGTGGCATAGTATTTGCAATATGAATACGGTAGGTAACATTTTTGAAATCTTTACTGTATTTAAAGCATATTCGCTTAACCATTATCACAATCTTGGTGTGATATCTGAATTGTAATCAGCAGAATTAATTCATAAAAGTCAGTGTAGCTGATTTCAACACAGCAATCAAACAATTTGTATACATGTATCAGATGAAGGGGTGGGTTTTTTTCAGAAACACCAGCAGTAAGTCTTATTTGTACTCATTCTCATTCTTTGCATATGTTTCATTAAGACAGATATATTATTTCTGATTTAATTATTCACCAAATATTGAAGACTAGCCATGAGCCTTTGCTGTATCTATACACTTTTAGCAATTTAAGATATCAGACTTCAATTATATGGTGAATTTATATGATGTGAAACCTTTACAGAGATTTCTGACTGATTTTAGTCTGCACGTACTTCCTGTTGTCTAGAATTCTCCATGCCTAATAAATAATTATAAAGAAAAAAGGCTTACTATTCTTTTGTAGATATCTTACTTATCACAGACATTAAAATGGTAAATTGTTGTAGTTTCCCATTTCTCCTACCCCCTACCTCCAACAACACCTGAGCGAATCGTTCTGTTTGAATTCTTCCTTCAATCGATAGGATTAGGCTACATTTTAATCTTTCTTCCTGCCTTCATTCAGATTGACATCACATGATTCCCTGCTCTTCCTACTGTAGCTTCTATGGTAATTCTATAGGATATCCTCATATTAATCACAAGCAACAAGTGGATGCTCTTGAGAATATTGTGGATAGATAAGAAAATAAATAAATGGATCATAGAACAATCCAGAGTTTTTCACTCAAGGTACACAAGATCAGACTCATATTACCATATTTTGGGCACATTGTGCAAAGATCCAACTCTCTTGAGAATCTGTAATTCTGGGCAAGATGGAAGGAAAGACAAGAGGGTAAGGAGCAATAGGGTAATAGAAGCACCAGTGAAAGGTTTGAAAGTCCAAGTCATCCTGGAAAAGGTCTGTTTATGTGGTTCTTAAGAACTAATATCAACCTGATGACACATAATTAATCACCTTTTTATTTAGGCAAACTAAATCTGACAGAGATAGGCTACTAAAAGATTTCTACACCCATTGATCTCATGTTTAGACTGCAATGATACAAATACCTCTGCACATGATCTATTAAAAATTGAATCTGTTTATTAATATAGTAACACCCCTGATGATACAACTAAACTGGCTGTTAATTAGCTACAGTACTATTCTACAGTGTGTCTTTGACATGTAAGGCTCTAAATCAGAGGTCCCCAACCCCCGGTTTGTGGACCAGTACCAGGCCACGGCATGCCAACAACTAGTCCGCACAAACAAGCAAAGCCCCATCTGTGGGATGCAGGCAGCACACAAAACCACGCCCCCTCTGGTCCACAGAAAAACCTCTCTCCACGGAACCAGTCCCTGGTGCCCAAAAGGTTGGGGACCTCTGCTCTAAACCACTTGGGACCAGAATACTGGAGAGACTGCCTATACCAGTGATGGCGAAACTTTTAGAGACCGAGTGCCCAAACTGCAACCCAAAACCCACTTATGCATCATTGGGTGCCAGGTGGGTGTGGTCCATTGGCTGGGTGTGGCCAATTCGATGGGTGTGGCCCATTGTGTGGGCGTGGCTGCAGTGGTAACGGCAGACTGGGTGGGACTAAAAAGTTCAATCAATCAATTCCAACTTTGCAAGATCTTTTTTTTCCCCGCGAGAAGTTGAAATTGACTGATTGATTGAATCTTTTTTTTTTTTTTTTTGCACATGGCGGCAGAGGCCTAAAGCGTAAAGGTTTTATAAAACCCAGCTGAAGGCCTAGGACTGGGGCAACGGTGTGCGTGCCCACAGAGAGGGCTCTGAGTGCCGCCTCTGGCACCCGTGCCATAGGTTCGCCACCACGGCCTATACAGTCACAGAACTGATTGTAATTACAATTTTGTACAACTAAATGATCTGTAATCATTAAATCATTAAACTTGTTGTGTGTGCCAAGGGTGACACGCTACAAGAGTAATCTTGTAATTATCCAAGGTAGAGGCTTTCTCTACCTTGAGTGGTGGCAACTACACTCAAAATGTTCTTCCTCCAGAAATTCATAAGGCATCTATTACAGGTAATCCCTGAGTTATGAGTGTTCACTTTAATACTCATTTAAAGTTATGCGATAAGTGCCTCCTAGTGTTTACGAGAAAAACCCAAAATTATGAATATTGCAGCACCACAGCAGTGGTTCGCCATTACAAAAGACTGCAGAGGCTCTGCAACATTTACCCTCTTCTCAAGGTGAGTTCGGTGTGGCAGGAAGGGAGGGGGAAGGCCTTGGGGGCCTGTTCCATGGCCTTCCCCACTGAGATACCTCGTGCGAATTAACGAACCACGCATTCACCCTGCATTCGATTAGAGAATGTGTGCGTGAAAGCAGGGAGCGATCTCATTCAAGATATGAGATTCACCCCTACGAGTACTCGAGTTATGAGTGGAATGGGCAGGCTCCATTACATTCGTAACTCGGGGACTAACTGTATTTAGTTGCAGTGGCAATGCAATAGCTGATAAGGTTTATCTGAGGTGAGATTATTACTAACCAGAAACTTTTCTATATAAGTGAATTGACAAATTATTTTTACTTAGTGAAATATGTGAATACAGATCTGATTGGCATCTATCCTGTAATCCTTTTATAACATTATAAAGATACAGCTTTTCCCATTAAAATGTTCTGAGATCTACCTCTTTCTGCTATTCAGCTATGTTGATGCCACCGTTGTATCTTGTGATTGCTATTTTATTGTTACATTATTTTCTGAATTATTATTTTATACTTAGATTTTTATTACTTGATGATTTTAAATTGTTTTATATAATGCCCAGAGCTGATCTGATAATGGTAGTCCAGCTATATAATAAATAAATATAGAGCAATATTATTTTATAGTCTATATTGGATGAGATAAACTTTCTGGCGATTCTTTTTAACACAATTGCCAGACTAATAGCACAGTACATAAGCTGATGCTTTATATAGTCATTGGGAAAGAAAAAAAAATCACACTTCTACCCAGGAAATTATAAACAGTATAATTTTGAAGCATTGCAATTTTATAAATATATAATCTAATGATTATAAATATATTACTGAAATATTCCCAATTTATAATATCACAAAGATATATTAAATTAATTCATTTACTTTACTTTAATTCATTCATTTAAATTCACTAATTCATGGACCAAAATTAATGTTTCCAAAGTATTACCTTAAAATAAGCAAAAGTACGTTCCCGATGTTTACACCATTCAGAGAAACAAGTGACATTTCTGAAGAACAGGCAGAGATCCCCATTTTCTTCAACCCTAGAATGCATTAATATACATATATATTATTTTTTTCATGGGTAATTTTGGTCCACACTATTTTTCTAAGCTTTTGAATGCATAAAAAGTGACAAAAACTATTAGTCTGAAACATTTTTGTATAATTACATTGCTGAACAGTGTCCTTGTTATAAATGTTTTATTTAAGATCATTTGTTACCTTAATAAATCTGGATAGGTTGAGACTTAGTTTGAATGTATTAATTTTATTTATTTAAAACATTTATATAGTCACCCATCTTATTATTAAATTTGGGTGCCTCCCAATTTATTTATTTATTTAGCTTAGCCCTGTATATTTATAGGTATATCGCAATCTGACCAGGCTAACCAACCAGTTGGTGGCAGGGCAGAAAACCAGTGTTATAATCCACAAGTTAAAATAAATATGTAAATCATTATGTCAGAAACTTAAGCTTTTTGAATGGTTCCATTACTCAGTACACTTTGCATGACAGATGCTTTATACCAGCAACTAGCACAATTTCATTTTCACAACAACACTTTAGAAAATGTATTTTCTCCCATTATTTTACTTTCAATCTCCTTTCCCTGCTGAACATCTAAGTACTGTAGCTTGCAGCAATATTAATAATAAACGTTATACATATTAGCACCATATGTTAGCTCATAAAAAGCTAAATCAACAGTTCAAAAGACATATAATTTTATCCCCCTAATTTTACCAACCACTCCCTTCCTCCAAACGAAACTAATTTGCTTAACAAATACTGATTTTGCTTTCTTCAAGAGACAGTTATTAAAGCAAAGTATTACTTAGCATGATGTTTTAATCAGGTTTGTGATTAGATTTACATGCTATGTATGGTTTACTAAAAAACCACAATTATTGGGTTTATAAAATCAAACAAGCCACATTTTGGTTTAAGGCATGCTGTATAATTTTTAAACATGCTTTTTTCTGAAACACAACAAACAATACTGTTGTCTCCCTGATTTACTGGAGAGACAAAACAATGACTAGACTTTAAAAAATACAGAAAAACTTTATATAGTGTTTTAGCAACATGATTATTTAATCATTACCCACTCCAGGCCTAAGGTTAAAATAGCAGGTGACAATTAATGCATATTATCTTTAAAAAGAGAAAACAGCTGTATTCAATAACTCAAAAACAACATAACTGAATGGTTACTATTAAAAGTAATTTGGAGAAGTTGTACCATTTCCTTCCAAATTACTGCAAGAACAAGTGTTCCAGAGCATTATAAGATCAGTCTAAAGTCACTGAATTAAAAATGTAACCAAACAAAAACCAAATGGTTGAGTATTGAAGCAGAAATATGATATGAGGGGTCCTTGCTGCTCTATGCCAGGGGTCCCCAACCCCCCTTCCGTGGACCAGTACTGGGCCACAACATGCCAGCAACTGGTCCGCACAAACAAGCCCCATCCGCGGTATGCAGGCAGCACACAAAACCATGCTCGCTCCGGTCCGCGGAAAAACATCTCTCCAGGTAACCGGTCCCTGGTGCCAAAAGGTTGGGGACCTCTGCTCTATGCAAAAAAGACTATCACCCATCCCCAAAAGGAACAAAAAGACCCAAGCATCTCTCCACCAGCAATCAGCATCCAGATCAGCATAGATTAATTCCAAGGTTAACATCAGACCAACAATCAAGTAAACAATACTCCAATCAAGAAATTGCCAAAGAAGCAAACAGCAATCAGCCCAACCAAAGAATCTGTAAGACCACCCCCACCAACACTGACAGACAAGCCTCTAGGATATAAACTGACTGCAAACTGCACTCTTTACTAGCACTGATGTTACCTAGTTTGGATAATGAAACGTCTGCAAGAAAACAAGCAAGCTCAGAGAGCACCAAGGACCCCCTCATGTCAACTCTGGGCTACAAATATTCTCCTTTAAAAATATGATAAGAAAGTGTCTTTGCAGCACCTTAGGAAAAAGGAGGAACGAAGAGAAGAGAAATATGTCAATTACAAATATATAACTCTACAATGAAAGAACTTGTTAACATGTGTCTACTCTAGTAAGATTTGCTTATTCTTTAACTTCTGTAAAAGGCTGAAAGAAAGGAAAAAGAGAACAATGTGGAATGTAAGGAATAAAAACAAAAAGTGGATGTCATGATTAATGTCTAAAGAAGACTGGCATAAACAAACTAAGTCTACTCTTCAGTTGGCTTGTCATCATGGACCACTATGAAGAAAACTTGTCCAACACTAAATGGATAAAGTTCAATGACTGTCTCAAAAGGAGGAAGATGACTGTAGTATATTCCTGAAAAGTAAATGTTGGGGTTTGAGTGCTGTAATGTTTCTGATTCTATCACTTTTTTGTATATTTTTGTATGTTATCCAGAGTCCTGGCTTAATAAATCTTATAATAAAAAATAACTGTCAATCACTTTAAATCTCTTTTTCCCCGTAATAACATAATTTCCTTATGATTATTCCCCACCTACCCACAAGAAAGAAAGAAAGAAAGAAAGAAAGAAAGAAAGAAAGAAAGAAAGAAAGAAAGAAAGAAAGAAAGACTTTGTCATTTTTTATTGTGGGCACATTGGCACACATTAAAAATGAAATTTAGTTGCTTGCTCTCAAAGTGTACACATACATAACACACATTTAAACATGCTATATACCAGGGCTTTTCAACCAGTGGTACGGGTACCACCTGTGGTACATTGGCACCTGGCAGGTGGTACGCGACCATCCTAGAAAGTGGTAGCGGGGGAGGGGAATGAGCTGAACCGGTGGCAGCACCGCACAAGCCTGAGCGAGAGATGGCTGGAGCTGCAGGGCTGTCAGGGCTCAGCGGAAGCACCAGGATCAGTGCCACTTTCCAGCTGATCGGCGCTTCTTCGGGGCTGTCAGGGCTCAGCGGAAGTGCCAGAATCAGCGCCAGGCTCCAGCTGGAGCTCGGTGCTGATCCTGGTGCTTCTGCTGAGCCCAGAAGAAGTGCCTATCAGCTGGAATGTTGCAGCATCTCCAGGGTCTTGTGATTTACATTCAGATGCTTGGCAACCGATTCATATTTATGACGGTCACAGTGTCGCAGGATCATGTGAAGTGACCAAAACCTGTTGCAACCACCCAGCAGACGGGGGGAATAAAAACCAAACACCCCCCACCCCACCCCCGCTGCCAATCCTCAATAGAAATGCTCACAACAATGAAAACCTCGGACAGGAGGAAGAGCGCCGCCAGGTGGGCAGGCAGGTGTCTTGCTTGGCTATGGCTTGGGGGCACTTTTTTCAGTACCATTTTTTTTGTCATCAAGTTTTTGACACCTTGCTAGGCGACTGGTGGTACTCAGATATTGCCATATCCTAAAAGTGGTACAATGGGTGAAAAGGTTGAAAAGCCCTGCTATATACAACATATGTATAAACCTACACCCTTACATATAAATAACATATAAATATTAATCACTGTCCATCCTGAATACATAACAGAAAGAGGAAGCTTTAGAGTTCACAAGGTTAATACTGTATGGTATGGTATTTCAATCTAGTAACTGAAATCTTACCTTGAAACAAGCTTGCTTAAATCACAGTCCGTGTCACATTCTGTTATAATATTAAGGTCAGTTACTATAGCTGAAGCATTTCTGTTCATCTGGGGGGGGAGAAGTTTATTAGTAAAACAGTGAAGAACAAATCAAATGTATTAATAAATCTGTCAAATAGTCACACTTACTTAATATTTAAACATAAATGTTATGAGAAACTTCAAATGAGCGTGAGATTTAAATGTTTCCCAAAATAACTGCTGATTAGTAGAGCATGATCAAGTTGATTATGACATAGCAGCAAAGAGCTTCTGAGAATGCAATTTATTTATTTATAAAATTCATTGGCTGCCCATCTTACCATAGGATAACTCTGGGTGGTTTAGTCATATATATATAATATACATATATATGTACAATTAAAACAAACAATTAAACTCAACATTAAAACACATGGGGAGGGCAGGGGCAAAGCACGGGGGAGGTGGGATGTTATTACTCAATCAACACCTTCACTGTGCTGTGTTTATGCATTCTCAAACATACACATTTTCAAGCCCTTGAAGGGATTTTAAAATTTGAAAATTCATGGTCCAAAAAGTAGGGACAGCAAGGAAAACAACTAAACTTATGTTTGTAGACATTTGACCATGTTTTGCAAGAGGGGGAATATTATTTTCTTCTTTTGTTAAATTTTGTTTTTATTAAGAACTCATGAATATATAATGCAATTTTTTGTATCTGTAATCCAAACACATCTTTTCCTCGGATCATGCTGCTACTATGGAAGCCAGCTGTGAAAGCCTAAGAAGAAATGCCACCTACTGGCAATTTAGATTTAGTTCTTGCTTGTTTATCAATTTAACTGGTTTCTAAGAAATCAAGCATAAGAGTTCATTCCTAACTGAGGTATTACTGGAACTTATTTTTGTATGTGTTTCCAAAACAAACAAAAGAATACATGTAAGCTCTAAGTTTTGGCAAAATTGTATGTATTTAATTTTATCAGAATTCATTTTTGTGCAGAATTTCAGGTTCTGTTTCTTCTTTTAACTTTTTCCTATCAAGATAACTGTTTGAAAAATTATACAGTTAAAATAATTAGGAAATTTATGTCCCCATTTTCCTCTTTCTTCTTCTTAACTACATGAAGATTTAACTTACAATAATCCTATGTAAATAGGATTAATTCTCAATCAAATATAAAATACAATGTTTGAGAGAAGCAACTTAGAACTAAGGAGAAACTTCCTGACAGTTAGAACAATTAACCAGTGGAACAACCTGCCTCCAGAAGCTGTGAATGCTCCAACACTGGAAGTTTTTAAGAAGAGACTGGACAGCCATTTGTCTGAAATGGTATAGGGTTCCTGCCTGAGCAGGGGGTTGGACTCGATGACCTCCAAGGTCCCTTCCAACTTTTTATTATTATTATTATTATTATTATTATTATTATTATTATTATTATTATTATTATTATTATTATTATTATTATTATTATTATTATTATTATAAAGCAGTATTTTAATACATATTCATCAGCATAAAATCATTAGTGGTTTCAGAAAAATAAATTAATGTACCAAAATGCACTGACAACAACCATGGATGGTTTCACAAGAAATCTCAGTTTGTTTATGCTAGTTATTGAAGGTTAGTAAAATGCTCCAGTTTATTTTAAAAACATCTTCCATTACCTTACTTTCTTCTGTGAGTTTAAATTCCAACTGAAATGAGATTGACTGACACTTTCCTGACAGCTTATAAGTTTGAATAGTTTTAGATCCATCTATAATAAATATTAAAATACATACATTAGAGTGATCAAGTGTATAATCCTTCAGTTATGTGTTATTTATTAATCAATAACGTTTAAAAACTAAGCATATTTAATATAAGATACATAGTCAGTTTATTAATGCAGCAGTCTATCTAAAATAGAAATGGGCATACAGTAGTTCTTTTAATTAAAATAGGGAAGTTTTCAGGCAGCAAACTATAACCTCTAGCTACTTCACAAAATGCCTCTAGCATTTTAAGACAATGAAAATGACGTATAGTTTGACTCCATTACTTTATCTGGAAACATCTGCTTGCTCAAAAAAGTACAGTTTACTGGTAGAGAATACCAGGGGGCTATAGGAAGAGAGCAACCTCACAGATTTGCCTTCTGTAAATGTAACTGGGTACACCTACCATAGGCTGTTCTATGAATTAGGTTAGCAAGCATGCTCTCAAAAGTCCAAATAAGTCTGCCTGACAAAAAAGATACAACAGAGCTTGGTTTCAAATATTGTTTTCTGGGAAATGTGATAAAACAGGTGGTGGTCTCAAAACTCTGCAGCTACTTCAGTAATGCTGATTAACTGCACCCATGGCAATTGGACTTTTAGTTGAGAAATGGTTCAGAGCCTGCTTGCATCACCTTGGTGGATGAAACTGGATTGGTGAATGTGACCCAACGTGGCTCTTGCAGTTTTTGATACCATTGGCAATGTTATCATTTTACACCAGACATGTCAAACTCACATCAGGTGACATCACGCAGTGTATCAGGACGGTTTTGCCATTGCCGGCAATGGGGTGGGCGCGGCTTCCGGATGACGCGTCCGGCCCGCGGGCCGGCAGTTTGACACCCCTGTTCTAGACTATCTGGCAAGGCTGGGGCTTTGGGAAGATGTTTATTCTTCTTCTCAGGCTTGGATGGAGCTGGAAGTCTATCACTGAACCCATAGTGTCTCATATTATTTCATTTAGTTCCCTGTGCTTTTCAACATCTAATGAAACTGTTGAAGTATAATAATAATAATTTATTAAATTTATATGCTTCCCAGCTCCCAATAATCCTGGTCAATTAGATCTTCTATAGGTTTGGAATGGGATGACATCCAATTCTATTATTTCTTATCTAAGAAAACAATTAGTAACCTGGAATATTGGCAAGGATTAGTTTGTGGCTAAAAATTCCAAGCTAATTTAGTGGATTCTTCTGAATGGAAGATCAAGAAAGCATAGAGCATTTGAGAACAAATCTCCTGCACACTTAGAAACTGCCAAAAAAGTATTATATATTCCTTTTTTGTTACTTTAAATTTAATTTTGTTTTGGAGTTGTTGGTGTTATTTGCAAAACTTTGAGTTCTCTAGGAGATATTAGATTTACTTCATTCTCTTCCCCATTCTTTGAGAAAACAGCAATGCAAGATAGCATAAAACGTTTGTACTCTAGGAAACCATGTTTCCCTGAAGCATGATTTTTATTTATTATGTATCACTTCAATCCAAATTAGTTAATGACCAGAAAACTGTGGTTCACCTAAACTAGAATAACAATGCCTTGAATTTGTATATTAGAATAGTTTTGGGGATACTTTTAATATAATAAAGGTTTTTATTCAAAGAATGTCTTAATCAATTACATCCAATTTTAGTCCAATTTTGGGACTATGAAATAAAAGCAGATGTGTAGTAATTATCCTGACTACTGAGCTTTGTTTGACCAGTTTGATCATCTGTGGTTGATAGGACTAGCCAAATTTGAACTGTAACACTTTCTCTATTTTAGGTACTGAATAACAGATAATAATTTTAATTTTATTAAAATTTGGCAATATTTGTGGTTAGAAATACGTTGAATCAAAACAATGTATGAAGTGTGAAAAAATATGTAATACTGTGACAATCATTAAAATACCTACTTTTTTCCACAAGTTTACGTGAATAATGTGTAAAGAAAATGCCTGTAAATTTCATTATAAATGAGAGATCAGCTTCCAACAAGTGGAGTTGAGTTTCCTGATCTGGAGAAGATTTGGATTGCTTCAGTTCTTCAGGCTTTTTTCTAAGTAATTTCCTACAGTAAGAAAAACTTTTATCAGCTAGATCTAAATGAGAAACCTCTAGTACATTGGCAGAGAAATTATGTTAATGAACAAACATTTTTATTTTTCCACAGGCTTTTTATCTGTGTGAGAAAACCAAAGAAATGTGTAAGATGAATGGGTCTAGGACTGAACAAGAGATGTATTTTTCATATTACAAGTAAATGATGCACCATGTAACTTATAGTTCTTTCAATGCCCCAACGAGTACAACAATCCTCTTTGTATATATTTTTGAGAGGTCAAATATCTTCCAGTTGAGATACTTGATGCCAAAACTCTTGCAAAACTCCTATGCAGAATATACTTAACTCATGTATCAATTTTACCAAATGAGATTACTCAATCCAAATTTTTGAGAATATTAATGCAAGTGTACTAAATGAGACTCTCTGTGGATTTAATTAAGGCTGAGCCATGGAATGCTCTATTTAAATTCTTACTAAAGCTGTTTTTATCCATAAGAGATCTGGTCCCTCTAAATATGGATTCTCAGAGAATTTGAAATTGAATAAAAATTATTGCACAATGGGTTTTGTCCTACATTGATTTAAGAAACCAATTTAGTAGTATTAAATCATTAGGTATTTTGGTCAACTTATTATAACTAAACATCACAGAACCCTTATGCTATTATGTTTTAATGTTTAATGTTCCCAAATTTAAGACTTCTTATCCTTTGGGGACGGAACAATCCAACTGCTGGCCGACCTTTTATGCAAAAGGCATAAGGTTTTCTATGCAGAAGGCTTTATAGAAAACTATTTTGTATCTTGACTAACATTTTAATAAAATCTCTCTTACAGAATATATTTATATTCAACATATTTTGTACACTAAGATTTTGGCATGATCTTGAGAAAATTCTTAGTAATTGCAAGCCAAATACATTCAGCACCTGTATTCCCATCCCCCAAAGATCCAGATGTAATTAACTCAATTGGCCTTTTGTAAGGCTCTGCAGACTTGCTGTTTCCTCAAGCATTTCAGTCAGGAGAGTAGGCTAGCCATATTAGCCATATGTTTTTATCACTGGAAGGTGTCACTTAACACCTTATTGCTTTAATTGTTGGGTCTTAATCTCTGCCCAGTGTCACTTTGGAGTCTGCCCAGTGTCACTTTGGAGATGGGTATCCATGTACATTATTTAGATAAATAAAATACCTACATGATCTCCATTTTTTCTGCCTCAGTATATGCCATTGACTGGTGTTGACTGTGTTCATATTCTTCTGTTAGCATTTTAATTTCTTCTTCCAAAGACTTAATTTCATCTTCGCAAGCCTGAAGTTCATTGCTATTCATTTTTTGGACACTTAATCTTCCTAAAAAGAAAAAAAAACTAATATAAATACAACAGTTAGGAAAAAGGGAGAAAAAATAAGTTGCCTAACTTAAAGATTTCAGTTTGTATCCATCAGTTTGCTGAAAATAAAGAAACATTATTATTTGCTTTCTTGGAAGATGTTGTGGAAAGCTATCCTTGAAATATCACTTAAATTATAACAACATAATTCTAAGGATTGTAGCAAATCATTAATGTGGGGATTAAAATATGAATTGTAACACTCCATGCGCCTAGATTCCAGAAGCAAAAGGGTGATTCAATTAAAATATAATGCAAGATAGTTTTGCCTGAAGCAAATTTAGGACCTACATGTTGTATCTGTCTGCTCACGTTCATTTTTACAAGCCTAAAATTGTTACCAGCATATATAGTTACATATATAGTTCCAGAAAATTACACTCCTAATTCAGTAGGGCAGTCTGTGTTTGCTGGACCACGGCTTCCAACTGGTGGCCAGTTTTGACAAGCAGACAAGCAAACAGTCCGAGATGTGATGCCAGTAGCCTAGTCGCCTAATCTCGGGGATCCTCAGGAAGAAACAGTTGGGAGTTTAGGGGAAAGAGGAGGAAGGGAAGAACACTCCTAGATCTCCGTATTGTGTGAAGAAAGTCCTAGAAGCAAAACAATCCCTAGCGCGATATGCTCACAGACTACCTTGCCCGGGTCAGATCCCGCTGATAGTCTTCGTTAGCCCGCCGATCAAACTAACCGAAAGCCACACCTAAGTAGCCCCTGCGCCGTTTCGAAGGACCCGCCAGAGAAAGCTGTCTCGGGCGCTGCCATTCTGCAGAATACGGGGGGGGGGAAGAAGAGACGGAGAAAGACAAAAGAGGCTTCGATACTGAACCGGTTGTAGGTCTTCTCCTTTCTGGGTCACTTTACATTAAATTTCATACTACTCGGCAAAAAAAAACATTTCTGCAGCGCAGAATAATGTGCCTACAAACTCTTTTCTCCACTTCATCTCTCCCGTTTTAGCTTCATCCGATAGTTCGATCCAACTGTGCCGGGGAAGGATCCGACTACGAAAAGGAGAACATAGAGCTTCAAAATATTGAAGAGTGACTTAAAATGTGAACTTCCGCTTAAAAATATAAAGCTGCTCACATAGCCACACGATTGTACAGATTAGACTCCGGGTTGGGTGGAGAAACGTATCGCGCCTAACTGAATTTATCGCCGCTGTGTATTAGCACTTCAAAGGCTCCCTGACTTGCGTCTTTTTCGGGAGAATAGACATTTACGATACGTTAAGCGAATGTTTCTCAATCTTGGCGATATTAAGATAGATGGACTTCAACTCCCAGAATTCCCCAGTTAGTGTGGCGGAAGTGGTATGGGGGGAAAGCAGGCGACGAGCAACAGTTGTGACCACGCTGGACGCCGCGCTGGATCGCGAGCGGTTCCGAGGTGGCGCGTCTCTAAGTGCGGGGTGGCGGTGGCTGGACGTGGTTTTTTTACCCCCCAGTATGTCCGATACTTTTAGTGGTGAGTTACTATGCTGGGTTAGTGCCCAGTTTCCCTCGTGGTGTTCAGACATGGCTCCCCGACCAAATGCAAGGTAAGGTTACCAGATCTGAAATGCAAAAACACGGCGACCGCTAGAGAGCAGCAGCGAGAGGGTGCACTATTTCTCTTCTGTGCTGCCACCTCAGAGTCGTCCGGATCTTTACAGTTCGGATCTGGTAGCCCAATGCAAATAGATAACTTGGAGAGTTTTAAATTTAAAAGGTGGGTTTTTATATAGCCCGAGTGAGGTCGTTCCAGCTTATAAAGGCAGCATCAGCAGGCTTCTGTCTGGTTGAGGTTGAGGCTACAGCAGGGGTGTCAAACTCAATTTCATTGAAGGTCGCATCAGCATTGTGATTCCCCTGGGGCAGGGTGGGTGCGGCCTACTGGGTGGGCATGGATGTAATAGGTGTGGCCTATTGGGTGGGTATGGCCAGCTTTACATCATTCGCATCAAGGGTGCCTGTGGGGGCCTGGGCAGGAGTGGGACAGATCTGAGGGTCTCTGGCAGAAGGGGATGGGACCACGGCAAGTGCCAAGGCATGGTCCACTGGAAGAGCCTCACTGTTCCTCTCAGGCCATGCAAGGGGAGGGCTGGATGGTGGTGCAGGATGCCCGGAGCCCTGGGCAGCAGAAGTCAAATGCCCAGCTTGGCCCTTGAGCACTTGTGGCACCAAGCCCAGTCCCACTTCCCCAAGGGGGCGACCAGCTGCACTTACCTCCTCCTCAAGGCTGCTGCTGCTGTGCTTGCTCTCCTTAGCCAGGTTGCTCATTATTCATACAAGGGCAAAGTCAGAGGGAGGCCCATTCCCTCTCCATGGGAGGAGACCTGGCTTTGTATCCAAAGCTTCCTTAGCAATAGGATGGGATACCCCCCAGGATAGGCCAGGAGGAGGAGGCAAGGGGATGGTGAAAGGGCAGCAGGGCAGGACTAAGGCAGGACTTCCCTCAGACCCTCCCTCTTCTTCTTTCCTTCTTTCCTTCCTTCTTTCCTAAGTACAGAGTGGTGGGAAAATATTTGAGATGGAGGGAGAAAAGCAGGCAAGAAACGTAGCTGGGGAGGTATCACCCTTCGTGAGCAATGAAGAAATGCCCCATCGCCTGGAAGTGGCCAGCACATGGCCACTTCACATATCTGGCTTGGTGGGCTCTGGGGGAGAGGTTGCCATGAGCAGCATGAGAGTCATCGTTACCTGCGCAATGCCGCCCAGCCCCCAGCCTACCCAGTTTCGGCAGGCAGCAAGGTGCTCTCCTCACAGCGCCAAAAGGCTGAACCAGGCGGTGCAAATCTGAAAAGAAGCCTGATGCCGCCCAACCCCCAGCCTGCCTAGTTTCAGCAGGCAGCGGAGTGCTTTCTTCACAGCGCCGAGAGGCTGCGCCGGGCAGCGCAAATCCAAAAAAGCGCAATGCCACCCAGTCCCCAGCCTGCCCGGTATCGGCAGGCAGCGGGGTCTCACAGCACCGAGAGGCTGCGCTGGGCGGCACATCTAAAAACAAGTGCGAGGCCGCCCAGCTCCCAGCCTGCCCGGTTTCGGCAGGCAGCGGGGCGCTCTCCTCACAGTGCCAAGAGCCCATCAAGCCGAATATGTGAAGTAAGCGAGGGCCATTTGCTGGCCACTTCCAGGCGATGGTGCATTTCTTCATTCCTCACAAAGGGTGACACCTCCCCAGCATGCAATCAGAGGGCGGGGCCGACGCAGCAAGGGCTGGTTCCTCGCTGTTTCCAGATGGCCTTGTGGAGCTAAGACTGAATGCATTTCAGCATAGATGGCCACCACAAAATTGTACATTGGCTCCTGGCCAGCCTGGGCCAGGGCCAAGGCAGTGGGGGCTGTTCCCTCACTGTTTCCAGGATGGCTTCGCAGGCCACATGAAACCACTTTGCGGGCCGCATCCAGCCCCCGGGCCTTGTGTTTGACATGTCTGGGCTACAGCCTCAAAAACACTTGCTGTGGACTTTCTGACGATTTTAAAACCTGATGGGCTCAGTTTTGAAAAGGTGTGCTTCAGAGCAAGGTTGATGACTTCTAAAGGAGAATTTTTGTAGCTCTGGGTTGACATGAAGGGTCCTTAGTGCTCTCTGAGTTTACTTGTTTTCTTGCAGACATTTCATTACCCAAACTAGGAAACATCATCAGTCCTGATGATTTGGGTAATGAAACGTCTGCAAGAAAATAAGCAAGCTCAGAGAGCACCAATACGCACCCCTTATTGATGACTTCTGCTAAAATTTTAAACTGTTGAAGATTTGAATAGGTTGAGCTAATTACTGTTTAGAATTCTGCTTCAAGACTAGGATGCTTTTTATTTTATTTATTTATAAATCTGTGTGCTGCCCATCTCTCCCAAAGACGACTCCAGGTGACTTACAACCAAATAAAAGCAACATGATATCTTGCAAGATATTAAAAAGAGCCAATTTATTTATTCTGTTTATGTGAATGATCATCTAAAATTATTCTTTTAATGTTCCAGCCTCCCTCTTCTTATCTTGAATTGTGGCTGTCCTTCGGGCATGTCTCCTCTTTCCTGTTTTGTTTCCATTATTTTAACTTAAGTTCCAAAACCTATATATAGTTCATTCATAACAGTAAACTAAATCTGTTAAAGCAATTCTGAATGTTGAATGGAGTTTTCTTCTCTTCCTGGTCACACAAAGGAGGGGTGGGCAAGCTGGTATTTTGTTTGAGGCTCTTTCTGTTTATATGTATAGCCAGGGCTTTTTTTGTCATAGAACACCCAGAACGGAGTTCCGGCACCTTTTTTGGATGGAACCTTGTCGGGTAGGCAAGGCAAGTTGTATGATGTGTGTGAGTTCTGGCACCTTTTTTTTTTTTAGAAAAAAAGCACTGTGTATAGCATTGATTTATGGTTAATGTGTAATGTAGTGCAAAAGTGATGCAACAGGGCTATATCATCAATAATGTTGTTTATAACACAGAGTGTCATATTTATTGTTAACAGATAGCTAAGGTTTAGAAAATTATCAAAACAACAAATATTAAAGTGAGGATCTTACAAAACTATGAATTGGACTGCTCTGAAGTTTTTTTGTATCACAGTAATTCTTAACATTGTTCAAAATATTTTGTTATTATTATGCACTTGTCATTTTACAGAAAAGTTGTAGCTGCAAGGACAATACCTTGGACATTTGTTGAATTTTTGAATATGGAACAAATCTCATTCGTTAGAAGACTATACATTGGAGGACTTGGCCATTCAGTTTCTGAAGATGAACTGTATGAAAGATTTAGCAAGTTTGGAAATGTTACAGAGACTGAAATCATTAGCCGGAAGGATGAGCATGGTAATACTTTAAAATTGCCTAAAAATAATTTCATCTACTTTGTAATGGCAGCTCTAGGCTGCAGTCAGGAATAAACTCTATTGATCAGATATATTGCTAAGAAAAATCTATGCTCAATTCTACTGTTACTTATTTTTTTGTTTTCCTTTTGGCAGTGATCACTTATTTATTTTAAACAATTTGAAAATCAGTTTGTTTTTTCTTTTTTGAATAATCAGATTGTTATTTTTAAACAGGGAACCCTACCAAAACATTTGCATACCTTAACATCCTCCTTTCAGAAAAAGCACTTAAAAAATGTAAGTACACAAACTGTGAATGCTGTTTTTGGTTCTTGTGTATATCATTATCTGTACCAAAACTGGTTAATCGTACTGAAATCTGTAAACAGAAGAAGTCTGATGAAGTTCATAACCAATATTCTTTAGTTGTATTGTTGAACTTTTAATCAGTAGGTTATTTATCTTTAGTTTTAGCAACAAGTCACCTTAAACATTTCTGTATTTTTGGGGGGCCTATTGATAAGGGCAGGACAATCTCATACACATACCTTTCAAATAACCTTCTAATACAGGGGTCCCCAGCCCGCGGGCCATGGCCCCCCCGTACCAGGCCATGGCCTATTCGCAACTGGACCTTTCAAGCGGCAGGCACATGCATGCAGATCGACTTGTGCAAACAGCAGGATGGCGCACGTGCAAATGTGTGTGCAGCTCAACTTGCACAAGTCAAGCTGCACACACATGCACACCAGCCTGCCAATTGTGCAGCCCAGTTCTCCTCTCCCCCCCCCCACAAGGCTGCCAAGCTGCAAAGGTTAGAGACCGTTGTTCTAACACACTGTTTGCTGCACCATCTCCAATATTTTACCTGCATGTCTTCTTATGTGGTCATGTTCCACCCTACTCCTCACTAATGCATTCTTTATGGATATCAGCTTTCCAAGCATGCTTAAACAGTTGTCCTTCAAAATCTGAAATATTGTCTTCGTTTTTGTTGACTGAGTTATCATGATAGGCATTCTCTTTTCCCATTCTCCAAAGGAGAAAATATTCCATGAGATTGAATCTAGCACCATATTTCCCAAATGACTGCTATACCACACTGGTGTTTGTTCTTCTCTTTGATACATCCTAGAACTTGTGGTTTATAATTTTTTAATAATGAGCAGAATAACCATTTGGTATTTTTTTTTGTCTTTAAAGGTGTATCGGTTTTAAATAAGACGAAATGGAAAGGAGGGACACTGCAAATCGAATTAGCAAAAGAGAGCTTTTTACACAGGTAGTACTTAGCATATTGTATACAGTTTCTGGTGAAAACCATTGAGTTCTGCACACATGTGAGCAAATAAACTGAAGAAACTGAAGAATAGAAGAGGAGACTTGCTTGTCTGTTTAAAGTTCTCAGTATGATGTTAGATTTTACAATGGGTTTTAACAAAACATTAGAAAAATATAGCGAATGTTGTATGAGTGACACTGGAGATATTTAACGTGAACGGTACTTCTCACACTGGCAGTGAAAACTTGATAGCAAATATGAATGCTGCAGAAACAAAGGACTGCTTCAAAGTAGAGCCTGTTACATAGAGTGAGAAAGGGAAGGAAATGATCAATTTGGAATATTATTGCTATCAATAGAACCTGTTTGTAAAAATACAGTGGAAAATATACACTATAATAGACATGTCAAACACAAGGTCCGGGGGCCAGATGCGGCCCGCGAAGTGGTTTCATGTGGCCCGTAAAGCCATCCTGAAAACAGCGAGGGAACGGCCCCCGCTGCCTTGGTCCTGGCCCAGGCCAGCCAGGAGCCAATGTACAATTTTGTGGTGGCCATCTTGGCACTTGCCCTGGTGGACCATGCCTTGGCACTTGCCCCGGTTCCACCCCCTTCTGCCAGAGACCCTCAGATCTGTCCCACTCCTGCCCAGGCCCCCATAGGCACTCTTGATGCGAATGATGTAGAACTGGCCTCGCCCATCCAGTAGGCCACACCCACTCCATCCACGCCCACCCACTCTGGCCACACACCCCGCCCCCCCCAGGGCAACCGCAATGCTGATGCAGGCCTCAGTGAAATTGAGTTTGACACCCCTGCACTATGACTTGAGAATAGAGAATAGAGAAAATCTTTCTCCTTTCTAATTGTGGACTTAAACTTGCACTTTGTTCCCAAAGAAATCTATTTTATTTTTAGCAAACTCATTTAGGGGATGCAAATTGAAGTGAGCTTTATTGTGAATTGACACAACTCTTATTGTTACAATTGTTACAATTATGGAAGACAGAAGGTCTTGGTAATTTTCACAAATCACAGGCAGTAGGTCCCAATCTACCTCCTATCCACTCCTAAGACAAGTTGTAATGTTGTAAAGTGGAAGGGATTACCATGGAAATATGAAAGGACTTTTCACTCATTTTGTTTTGCTTTCTCTCTCTGTTTAATTAGTACTAAACTGCAATCCTGTTCTGTTATACAGACTAGCACGGGAGCGCCAAGAGGCTAGTGTGACAAAGGAAAAGACAAATTATAATGGTATGACAGATATTCAAGAATCTCTGAAGAAATCTGGAGTTGTAGATTTCTGTGTGAAAGCAGTACCAGGAACAGAAATACCAAATCATAAGGTATAATAAAGATATGGGAAAGAGATGCAATATATTGTTCCTTCACACTAATGGGCTAAATTCAAAATGTTATTGCTTAGTTTAAAAAAAATATTTAAAATTGCTACATTGCTTAAATACTTTCTTTTTATAAAGTTTTTTTTTCAACGTTATTGCAAACTTTGAAAGTTGTTTGCAAACAGTTTTGTAAAAGTTATTGCGAACATCTCCCCAAATAATACTTACCATATTTTATTTGTTTTAATAGGACTGGGTGGTTAGTAAATTCGGCAGAGTTTTACCTATCCTTCACCTGAAAGATCAACACAAAAGCAAAATATCCTTTTCTGCAAGTTTTTACTGTCCCAATTCTTATTATTCGCTAAACAGTAGTATTTCAGGTGCATTATCATGTAAGAAAAAAAATACCAGACAAGTATAATCAATTGAAATATCTGTTGAGTGGCAGTGGAAATTTATAAAAAGGCATTAATAGTTCTGTTGAATTTCACTCCACTTGCAGGAATTAATCATTAGATTTACCATGAAGTTGATAAGAAATAAAAAATGACAGATAATTAATATTTATTGAAGAAAATAGTCATGTCAAAGAATCCCATCAACTGCAATGATTCAAGAA